TCTGAAGAAGGGTCCAGGCCCGAAATGTCAGCCTTCCTGCTCCTCTGATGCTGCTTGGCCTGCTGTGCTCATCCAGCTCTACACCTTGCTATCTCAGATTCTCCAGCATCTGCAGTTCCTACTATCTCTCCACTGGATTAGCTGCTTACTTGCTGTCATTACTTCTACTGATGCCTTGTGCTCTCTTTAGCTTGGCACAAGATTTATCCTGCAGTTGGGAATGAGGAATTCACATTATAGTGATCACTAGATCTTTGTGGGCAGCTTTCTTCAAATTCATCAGCGAATATCATTGCTTTACAATTGACAGCAAAATCTAGACCATTAACAGATGGAGCAAATGGAACAAAATTGTGGCAAATGAATTTCAATGTAGTCAAAATTGAGGCTGTCCACTTTAGATCTAAAAAAATGGATAAGTAGTAAAAAGTTGGAAACTGTGGAAATCCAAAGAGACTTGCGAGTACAGACATATTGATAAATGTCACAGACAGGTAGAGAAAAAAACAATCAAAAAACTGAATGGAATGCTGGCTTTTAGAGCTAGATGAATATACAAAATGGTAAAAGTTATGCTTCAGTTATACAAAGTCCTCGCTTTGCCACAATTGGAGTACTATGGGCAGGTATATTGACCTTGGAGAAATTACAATTTAGATTTATTAGATTGATACCTAACTCAAAAGAATAAATTACAACAGAAGATTACACAAGAGACGGATGTGTTCCCTGGACTTTAGATAGAAATATATATTTCTGCTAGCTGAGGAATTAAGGGCTAGAGGATATAAATTAAAAATTAAAACTCAGCCTTTCAGGAGTGAAATAGGAAACATTTTTACACGGAAGCAATGGTGGCAATTCAGAATTCTTATTAGCAAACTGCAACTGATGCTCAATCAATTGTTAACTTTAAAGCTAGAATTTAGAGAATATTTTGTCACCCAGAGGTATTTAGGGCACAGGTTGGTCACAATTTGGTGACAGATCTATCATCATCTCATTGAATGGCAGAACAGGCATGAAGAGTTAAATGATATTCTCCTGTTCCCATAAATCATACACCATGGCTATGAGGTCAGTGGCAACTTTACTGAGCTAATACTAGTGAGTGAGTAATTACACCACACCCCCTAAAGTCACATACAATGGCAAAATTTATCAAAAATATTTACCCCAAAGATGATCAGACATAATAGCACTCAGGTGGTTTAGACATACCGGTGATTCAGTGAGAGCAGTACTAATGATGATTGACAGAAAGCAGTACTAATGGTGATTCAGAGAGAATAGTACTAATGGTGATTCAGA